CGCTCCCCCCATCCCTCTGCCCCCTCCTCCCTCCATACTTGTCCATCTTTCCCGGCCCTCCACGTCGTCCTCTGCCTCCTCCTCCCATCTGCTCCATGAGGGGGCCGGGGGGTCCCCCGGGGCCGCCTCCTCCACCTCCTCCTCTCCGGCCTCCTCCTCCGTAGCCTCCTCGGTCCATCCCGCGGCCTCCTCGGAACCCGCCTCTGTCTCCGCCGCGGCCGCCTCGGAACATCCCCCCGGGGCCCCCTCGGTCCATGAGGCCCCCGCCGCGCCCACCGCGCATCCCCCCGGGGCCGCCCCGGCCGCGGTCACCGCCTGGGGGGGAGGAGAGACCCTCAGAGCGACCCCAGGGCAGCACAGCCCGCTCCGGGTGTACCCTCCCCCGTTATCCTGGGACATCCAGCTCTGCCATGTGCGGTGGGAGAAGGCCCAGGAGATATCGGGAACCCTGAGGGGATTCAGGAGTGCAGCACCCACCCCTCACCCAGCTCCTCTTGAGCCTGGCTGCTGCAGCTCATTGGTGCCCTACAGAGGTGGGAGCAGCCCCCCAGATCCTGGAGGAACTGTGATCCCAGCCTCCATGTCACGGCTCACAGAGCAATGAAGGCCTGGCAGCTCCAGGGGGCTGGCCCAGCTGCTCCCCGAGGAGCCTGAGGCCAGGCCTGGGGTGTCCCACTGGGAAGTGAAGCCGTGAGCCCCCCCACGTACCTGGAGGGGGGAAGGGGGGCGGGAGGAACCCCTCGGGTTTGGGTGCCTTGCACTGGTTACACTCCGTTCTCCAGGCGAAGTTCTGGTTTCCACAGCCCCTGGGTACAAACACCAGTCAGCCCAGAGCAGGACGACATTCCTGCTTGGAGAACACCAGGAAGCACCACGAGCAGGAGAGCACGTGGAGAGCAGGACCTGGGGCTCATCTCCAGCCTCAGCTCCCCCAGTGGGGTGGGGTCCAGCTCTGCCTGTTCACCCTTGCAGTGACCCCATCCCTCCCTCCCTGCCTTACCCAGGTGGGAGGAAGGAGCTGCCTGGGAAGGCCCAGCAAGAGATTTTGGGAAAGGCCTCCTGGTCCTGGCAGCCCTGGGGGCAAAGGGGACGCGGGATACTCACGGGTTGGGGCACTGCCAGTCTCCGGCGCGGTGCTGGACGCTCCCTCCAGAGGGGTTTCCCCGGGACCCCCGTGGGCCTCTTGAGGAGAAGCCACCCCTGTCTCCACCTCTTCCACCCATCCTGCCCATGGGGCCGCTGGGGCCACTGGGCCCCCCTGGGCCACCAGGACCTCCCGGACCTGCGGGAAGGAGCCCCGTTAGTGCCAGAGCCACGGGCAGGGTGGGGGGACAGGGAGCAGCTCTGGGGGTCCCACCCAGTACCTCCTCGGAGAGGGGGGGGCATTCCCCGCTGCTCCCGGGGGGGCATCCCGCCCCTCAGGCTGTTCATGGGGCCCTTCTTCCGTGCCAGGGTCACCTTCAACTTGCTCCCCTGGAAATCCTTCCCTAGGAGGGACACAAGGGCAGGACATCAGCGCACATCTGCACCCTGGTGCTTCCTACAGGGAATTCCATCCCAAACGCCCTCCCGCGCTCACCATCAAACCATTCCACAGCTGTTTTGGCAGTAGACGGGTCATCGTAGGACACGGTGGCGTCACCTTTGGGCTTGCCGGTCTCTTTGTCGATGTACAGGTTTATCATGGGCTGCCCCGTCCTCTTGTTCATCTAAGGGACAGTGGGATGTCACTTGGAGTCCCCTCTCCCAGCAGGGATTTACTCCCTGTTCTGTTTTCCAGACAAGCAAGGCTCATTTTTAGGACTCTGGGGCAGATGAAAGGGCCCCCTGGGCCTACCAAGGGTGACAGTGACTGCCCAGACATCCCAAAAATGAAGGAACAGGCCCAAAACAGGCCTCTCCCAGGGACCTGATGGGCTGGAAGGATGTGAGCAGTGGGCAGAGAGGAGGAGGGTGGTCCCTCTGTCCTGCCTTCGGGGGTCACAGGTGTCCCCTCACCTTGACAACACCGCACTGTTTGAAGAAATCTGCCAGGTCCTCCAGGGTCACATTATCGTTGAGTCCCTGCACATACACTGCAGTGCTGTCCGAGTCCTCCTCCGGGTCCATAGGGGGGCCTAGGAGACAATTCCCGGGGTCAGGGCAGAGAGAGGAAGGGCAGGGATATCCCAGGGCCGAGTTCTTTCCATCCCGTCATTCCCTCCATCCCGTCATTCCCAGCTGTGGCTCCGCTCCCAGTGAGTGACAGGAAAACCCAGACCCAGAGGGAGGTGACTGAACACGTCCTGCCAGACAGACCCCACAGCCACCCCTGCGGGAAGAACCCCCCAGGTTATATCAGGACACATCCCAGGGGAGGGATGAGGAAGACCTTTGTGCCCTCTGGGCTCCCACACACGGACATCCCACCCCCCTTTTCCGATGCTGGAAGCTGACACATAACTTCCAGACACGCCTGTAGGACAGGAAGGGACAACCCATAAGGCCACAGGCTGCCGTGGCATGGGAGGAGGCTCCTGCAGAATCCCTGGAAAAGCTCCAGAGCGGCCCTCAACCTGGGGTTACTGCAGAATCCCTGGAAAAGCACCAGAGCAGCCCCCAACCCCCCGAATTCCTGCGGAGAAGGGCGGGTGTCTCACAACCACGTGTGGTTTTCCACAGTCCAGCTGTTTGGATCAGAGCTGGGAATCAAGCAACGCTGGGAAGAGCCAGAAAGAGCGCGGGCAACGTGGCTCCACCTGCCGTGGGGCGACACCTGCGGCGCTCCCGAGGACACCAAGCGTCCGATTTCCCAAGCTCGGGAGGGATTTTGACGGGGATTACCTAAATCCAGGTCGGGTCCTTCCTCCATGTGTCCTGCCAGGCGGGAGAGAAGCACAGGGAGCGGTGTTAGTGCGGGCCCTGGGGCTGGAGAACCGACACACACAACACTAGCTACGCCTCAGCACCGGCACGGCGGGAGGGGGAACCTCCAACTGACCTGCGCCGCCCCAACAGCAGCACCGCACCTTACTGGGCCATCAGGTGGCTACTTTTTAGCACTTCTTTCAAAACCAACAACCACTATTACATTGTTGTTTTGTTTTGTCTGGGTTGTTTTTTTTTTTTTTGTTTTTTTTTTTAGCACTTTTTCAAACCGTTAACCACTAGCACGCTGATTTTTAGCAGTTCTCAAACCGTTAACCGACTATTACGCTGATTTTTTTTTTAAAAAACAAACAAACGAAAAAATAAATGTTATACCAAGCCAATCGGTTTTTTTTAAGTTCGCTACTATAAGTTACTTAATATAAAAAGAAAAGATTTATTACATCCAAACCATTCCTTTTCCCCAAATTACAGCGAGTGGTTGCTCAACTCTTCCACTGCGTCCTGTGACCGCATTAAAACCCTTAGCGTCGCCGGCAGTACCCATTTACAGTCTGGTTGCATATGTCATTTTAAACCACTTAAAACGAATAACAAAATTACACTTGGTTCTAAAAAACTGTCTGCAAATGCTTTTTTTTTTTTTTTTTTTTTTTTTTAACACTATCCATTGTAATGCTCAAAAACTTACCACCAGGCTTATTGAAGCCACCTCGCTCTCCAGCGCTGCTGGGGGGATAAACGAAGAAATGAAGGCCTTTCCCTTTACAAAGCCAGCACCGCTCTGAGCCTCTGCGGCTCACAGGGGAGAAGGGCACTGGCTAAACATCTCCAAACATCTCTCTGTCTCTGTCTCATCTCGGCACTAGGCCTTTCTTCAGGGCAGCTCGCTCAAATGCTCTTTACAATATAAAGCAACCTGGCGTGGGCTCGAGGCACCGCTTTGCCGTCGGCGCCCTGGCGTTACTCAGGTATCATCGGTGCAATACTTGGCAAAGAAAGGGGCTTTGTGTTAGAAATCGAGGGAAGGGGCAAGGGGGGTTGGTTTTGTTTTTTTTTTGTGTGCGTTTCAGAGAAATTCGGGGGTGTTTCAGTGGTCAACTCCCTCCCCTCGGTGTGTCCACGGAGGTGCACCCTCGGCCTGTGGCGGCGCCGGGCCCGCGGGTCCCTGACAGTTTAACAGTGCAAAAGGAGACAACCCCAACGCGAGAACCTACGACACAAAAAGTCCAGCTGACAGCGCCCCTGCAACCCTCGAAAAGAAAAGCCATACATTTCAGGTCACTACTGAATTTAACAACTCTCTGGAGGGAGAACTTACAGAGTGCAGCGGGGGGCTCCGAGGCCTGGGGTGCAGCTTTGTGGACACACTCACGTGGCTTTTGGGCAGGTGCCAATAGGAACGAGGCCACAGCTTTCACCAAAAGCTTTGGCCCAGGCTTTCACAGCTGAAACCGCTTTTGGAGCATGGTGGTTAAGTAGGAAAATGCCACCTGGAAAAGGATTTGGGCTGTTTCTCGCTCTTTTTTTTTTGTTTTGTTTTGTTTTTGGTGGGGGGTGAGACGAGCCCTTTGGAAGGAGCCGAGCGGAGGAGGGAGAGCACCGTGAATTTTCTAGCAAGTATTGCACCTCTAATACTGGGAAAAAAAGAAGTCAATACAGAATTTCGAGCTGTTGCATGCAGCTTTGCCTCCTCTCGTTAAAAGTACACACCATTTACGTAACGTCTCTCTTTTTTAAACATAGCTTTTTTTTTTTTACACTTTTTCTTTTTTTCTTTCTTTTTTTTTTTTTTTTTTAACGTTACACAATTCTAAAGTAGTAGTATACCCTCCTCTGGTTTTATTACCAAACAACAAGTATGCAGTTACCAAAAGTTACAGAAGGATTCCGTTTATACAATCAATACATTGGGTTAAAAATATTCTATGTATATTTTTCCTCTCCATATGGACACCGTGTCTAGTCCCACTTTTCATTATGCTGCCGGCTGAGTACTGAGTACGGGTACTTTTTAAGTATTGAGGTGTATACAAGGCTCTCACTTTGTAACCTGTAGCATATAAATGCGACAAAGCATGTTAAAAAGTTTTCCATTGTCATCAAATATCAAATCATCGAGGCAATGAGAAAGGGCACGTTAATAACATCGAGCTCCTTACCTGCTGGAGACACTGAAATCCATCACCACAGCACTCTAAGGTGGGCCGAGTTCCCCTACCTGCCCTGGGCGTCCCCTGAAGGCCACCTGTGCTATGGACAGCACAAACTCTACGTCCATAAGGCTGGGGGGGGGAACCCTTTGTAAGGGCCTGGCCAGCTGGGAATTCACTAGGGATGCGAATTTGAGCTGGGACTGAGGTGTGAAATCAGAGACAAAAGGTGACAAATCTTTGGCGGGAGAAGCTCTGAAGGGGCTAGAAATTTGAAGATGTGATGATAGGCGTTTCAGGTGTCTACATCTACTTTGTAATTGTTAAGAGAGAAAACCATCGGGGGGGGAGGGTGAAATCTTTATGCAGATCCACGGGACCGCGTTCCACGCGAGCCAATTCCAGGCTGGATGTTCCCACACAAACCAGCCCTTTTGCACGTCTTTCTTGGATTCCTCTGATAAAGATTTCATGCCACGTCAATCTGCTGCGACAGAGCTACGCAGAGTGGGGCCTCCCACCGCCAAACCGGGCTGTGCCACGCGGGAACAAGTCGCCCACGGGGAGCAGTCGCCACGAGGGCCACCCTGCCAGCACCGGGGCGGGCACAGCGTGTCCCACGCCACACCTAGGGACGCTCTGCATAGCTCTGAGCAACAGGGTGAGGGGATGGAACACACACAAAGCTACGAATTTCCTCTCTGAGCGGCCTCTGGGGGATGGTTTTCCTCCCTCACCTCTACGAGAACACCCTCCACGGCCGGGGGGGCACAGCTGAAGGCACGGGTGAACCAAACGAGGTCGTGCCATCAGTTACAGCGGCCAAAGCACCTGAACGCTCCGAGGGGGAGCTGGCCCGGGAGCCAAACCTCTTCCCTCTGCCCTGGGGGTCCTCCTCCACGCTCCAAGTGTCCCAAGGCACTCAGAGCCACGGCTGCTGAGGAGGCTCCTGCCCTGCACACACCTGACCTGCCCAAATCCCCACTGCTGAGGCGCAGGGAGGGACCCCTGGAGCCCCCGGGAGGTTTGTGTGTGTTCCACCCACAGTTACTGTTAAACCCCACAGAGGTTCCACCTCGGGGCGACCACGAAGGGAGCTGAAAGTGCCAAGGTCAGCAATGGCCCCAATTTACCCTTCCCCTGAGCCCAACCACCCGCAGGACAAACCAAACACATCCTGCTCCTATCCCCCTCAGGACAGAACACTTCCATGGATTACAAGCAATGCCGCTACAGAGATGTCCTCCATGGAAGCACCGTCGGGAAGGACAACCTTTCAGTCCCTTCTTTTTTCCGTTTTCCAATCCTATGGGTAAACCAGGATTAGGTAAAAGGAGAAAAGCTTTGCTCTTACCCCATTCCACCGCGTCCTCCTCCCCGCCCACCTCTGCTCATGCCTCCTCGATCATATCCCCCTCGTCCCCTGCCCCGGCTATCGGGGCCGCTCAGATTCCGGGTCTCTCCTGGGCCGGAGAAGCCTCCGGATTCCTGCCCGTACATGTTCATGCTGCTGGGATGGTCCTGGCGGAACGAGCCTGGGGAAGTGGGGGACACACACACGTCAGGGACAAGCAGCCCTTCCACCTGCCCTCAGCCCCAACAGCAGCTCCACAGGGATTCAGGCTGGAGAAGCCCTCTGAGATCGTCAAACCCAACTGTTCCCCCACCGCTGACCCGCGGTCCTCAAGGGCCACATCCGCATGGATTAAACTCCCTCCAGGGTTGGGGACTTCACCCCTGCCCTGGGCAGCTGTGCCAGGGCTGGACAGCCCTTTCCATGAAGGAATTTTCCCAAATGATCCAATCTAAACCTCCCCTGGTGCAGCTCGAAGCTGTTTCCTCTCATCCTTGTTCCCTGGGAGCAGAGCCCGACATCCCCCAGCTCCCCCTCCTGTCATGGAGTTGCAGAGCCAGAAGGTGCCCCCTGAACCTCCTTTTCTCCAGGCTAAGCCCCACCCAGCTCCTCACCGACCTCCTCATCACAAACACTTCATGCTCTGTATTTCCAACCCCGCTGAGGGGATTATCCCAACCTGCCACTGCTCCAGCGAGAAAGGACCAACCCCAGCAACAACCCTTCAACCTATCTCCAAGTTTTAGCCCCAGAACAAGCCCAGGGCTCCACCTGAGGGCTCCCACTCACTCTGCTGGCCGTAGCTGCTGCTCTGCTGGCTGTACTGGCTGGGGGCCTGGCTGTAGGATGCGCTGGGAGGGGGGTAGCTGGTGGGAGGGGGTTGCTGCCCGTAGCTGCTCTGCTGCCCATAACTGGTCTGCTGGCCGTAGGAGCTCTGCTGCCCGTAGCTGCTCTGCTGGGAGTAAGTGCTCTGATCGTAACTGCTTGGCTGTGTGGAGGAATAGCTGGAAGAGAAAAGCACGGGAAAGATGGGAATGAGGAGGCAACTCTTTGGCAAGGGCGTGCGAGGCTGGAAGGCAACGCAATCACAAGCCATATGTAGGGTTGTAAATCATTTTAAAGGCTTGAAAGTCATCCCATGGAGGCCAGGTTGGAGGGCTGTAAAAGCAACATCCATGTGAGCAGTCCCAGCTTATTTGTACCTCCGAGAAAAGGCACAAGTGACAGGGCAAAACTCTGTGGCACCACAGGTAACAGGCTCTCCTCCTGAATTATTTTTGCCTGATGGATAATAAAAGTTTCCCTCATGCAGCTCAGGCTTTGAGAATTTCCAAATGTAGCCTTTTAGAAGTCACATCAAAGACACCTGAGGGGAGAGGGGAGCTCCCGGCCCAGCTGTGTGTGCAAGGAGGCAGCAAGAGGTCACTGCAACGCACTCCAGGAAAATCCTAACAATTCTCAAAACCAGAAACTGTTGGAAATTCCTGGAAACACCTGTCACAATTTTCAGCTGTCCACACACAGACACCTGAACACTCAATCCTGCATCCTCCTCCTCCTCCTCACGACAAGAGGCACAGCTCCTCCTCCTGGAACACCACGACACCTTATTCCATGTCTTTTGCTAAAATCCCTGGGGAAAAGGCCTTTCCCTGAGAATTCCCAAGCGCGTGGAAGGGTTACCTGGTCGGGGGGTAGGAGGGAGGAGCGGTGACGGGCTGCATGGGGTAGCTGGCAGGCACCTGGGGGTAGCTGTAGTTGCTCTGCCCGTAGCCCAGGCTGGGCTGGCTGTAGCCTGTCGTGCTGGACTGGGGCTGGCTGGTCTCTGCTGGTTTGCTGCCATCCTGGGGTCTGGGGAGAAAGATGGAACCACGTCAGTGCCCAGCTCCACACCTGGAAGCAGCAACGATCCCCCCCTGTTTTTTGGGGTAACACTACAAGGTGGCTTTGATGGGTGGCAGTCGCTCTGGCAGCACTACATAAAATAATATATAATAATACATAATACTGATGATTTTGGCACTCAGTGAGTGGGTGTTTGCACACCCCAGGAAAGGCCCAGGCGGTGCCCTGAACAGAGAGCACAGAGCACCACGGATTGTGTCCGTCCCAGGGATCAGAGCTCAGACTTGGCTCCCGGGCTGAGTGCAGGGCGTGGAATGCCAGGAAGGCGGTTGGCAGCGTTGCCCTGCGCTGCAGCTGGTTCTGCACAGCCCTGGGAAAGCAGGAGCTGAAAGCAGCCAGCAAGGCAGGCACTGAAATGCCCCATTGTTCAGGTCAGAATCCAGCTCATGCAGATATTGCCTCACATACCTTACCCCCTGGAAGGGAAAGGATGCTGGGGTTGGACTGGGTGACCTTTAAAGGTCCCTTCCAACCCACACCACGCTGGGATTCTGTGTGCAGGGTTAACTCCCAAGGCCTGAATTAGAGAAACCTTTGAATGTGATTCCCAAGGCCCCTTCTATGTGTCCCCCAGTTTAACAGCCATGGATGTGGATGTGGCACTTGGGGACATGGGTCAGTGGTGGTTTTGGCAGTGGACTCGATCTCAGAGGGCTTTTCCAACCTAAATGATTCCATGAGTCTGTAATTTCTAAGTGTTTCTCAGAGTGAAGCTACTTTTGCTGTAGAAGCTGGGAAAAAATTATTTACAACGTCAGGATTCCCCCTGAAAATTCGCATCCCTTTGAAGTGTGACCTGCCAGAGCTGTGACAGACTCTGCCTCTCCTTACAGCAGTGGTTGCTACAAACACCAGGTAAGTGACTACATCAGCTTTCCCTCATCACTATTAAACAGGTTCCCATTAATTTTTCACACCCCCTGAGCAAACAATTCCAACAAAATACCTGCCAGGCAGTGCTCAGACGGGAGAGATTTAAAAAGGGAACGGTTTGCAGCGTGAGCATCCCCCCAGTGTCGTGCCTGACCCCGGGCCCCCGGGGCTGTTTTCTGCTCTGCAGTGTGAGCTGAGAGCCTGGTTCCTCTGTGTGGTTGTTCCCTCATCCCCCAGGAACGGCTCTGACTCACAGAGCTGGAGCACAGCCCTCCCACGCCGCTCCCCCGGCCCCGACACGCGGTGGAGGCAGCGGTGACAATGCTGTGGTGAGACGGGCAGGGAGCAGGGGGGGCAGCTGGGGGGGTCACAGCAGGAGGAGGAGGAAGAGGAGGAGGAGGAAGGCTGTACCTGGCAGGGGCAGACTGGGGCCAGAGCAGAGGCAGTGGGAGCAAAACTCTGGTGAAACAGGCAGAGAGGGAGGAGGGGCCACCAAAGCAGTGGGTGCAGCTGGGGGTGATCAGAAGAGGAAGAGGAGGAAGAGTAGTAGGAGGAGGAAGAGTGGGAGGAGAGGGAAGAGGATAAGGAGGAAGAGCAGGATGAGGAATAGGAGGAGTGGGAGGAGAAGGAGGAAGAGGATGAGGAAGATGATGAGGAAGAAGAGGAGGAGGAGGAAGAGGAGAAGGAAGAGCAGGATGAGGATGAGGAATAGGAGTGGGAGGAGAAGGAGGAAAGGGATGAGGAAGAGGAGGAGGAGGAGGAATGGGAGGATGAGGAAGAGGATGAGGAAGAGAAGGATAAGGAGGAAGAGGATGAGAAATAGAAGGAGTGGGAGGAGGATGAGGAATAGGAGGAGTGGGAGGAGAAAGAGGAAAGAGATGAGGAAGACGATGAGAAAGAAGGAGGAAGAGGAACAGGAGCAGGATGAGGAGGAAGAGGAGGAGCAGGAGGAGGCTGCTGAGGCTGAGGAAGGCCATACCTGGCGGGTGCGGCGGGGGCCGGCTGCTGCCCGTAGGCCGGGTAGGCGGGCTGTGTGCCGTAGGCGGTGGGCGCGGCGTAGGACGTCGGGGTGGTGGTGGCCGTGGCCGTGCTGGTGTCGTAGGCGGCGCTGCCGTAGCCCTGCACGGGCTGGGGGTAGGCGGGGGGCGCGCTCGGGGCGCTGTAACCTGCAACACACCACAATGGGGCACTCTGGGTGAACAGGGCATGGAATGGGAGTGGGATGTGGGCAAGGGAACCAGGGAGACCAATCACCCCCACCCCGGGGGGCTCAGGTTTTATCCCATCTTCATCCCAAACTTTGCAGCACGTGGATTCAAGGAGTCAGGAGTGTCCCCAAGGATCTGGGAGCGAAGTAGGGCCGGGTGCTGGAGGGGGCACCCGGAGCTCACCCACACCCACTCTGGGCACGAGTTTTGGCTGTGGCACAAACCCACACCCTCCAAGGCCAGGGGCTGGGAGGAAAAGGGCTCTCCAAAGTGCTTTATCCCTTAATTTGGTTCACCCAAGACAATTAAATCCAAGAGCTCCACAGGAGCTGCAGCAACGCTGCTCTCCTGGGGCTCAAACCCCGGGTCAGGAACGTGGCACAGCCCAGCCAGCCCCTTTGGCCCAGGCAGCTCCCAAATCCTGCTCTCCCAGGGCAACAAGAGGCTCCTGAACCCAAAATACAGCAGCAAACATGTCCTGGGGCTTCCCAAGGAGGCAGCTGCATCCAGAGGGTTTCTGGGAAGCACCTTGATCCCAAATGAGGCATTGCTGGTAAGGAAGAAAACTCATTCTTCTGCTCCTTTTGTCACCCTGTTTAGGGCCAATTCCTCCATCCTTGAAGGCTGAGATGCTGCTGAGCAGAGTATTCCATGGAATCATGGAATGGTTTGGGTTGGAAGGACCTTAAAGCTCAGCCAGTGCCACCCCTGCCATGGGCAGGGACACCTTCCATCAGCCCAGGCTGCTCCAAGCCCCGTCCAACCTGGCCTTTGACACTTCCAGGGATCCTGGGGCATCCTCTGGGAAATCCATTCCAGGGCCTCACCACCCTCACAGCCAGCAATTCCTTCCCAATATCCTATCTAAATCTCTTTTAGTTTGAAGCCATTCCCCTTGTCCCCAGTCCCTTTCCAGCTCTCCTGTAAGACCCAAATATTTTGGACCATGGCACTTCTGTCACTGGTTTCTCAGGGCTCAGACACAATTTTACCACCTCAGACAACCTGAAACTCACCAATTAACCCACACCAGCCCCTCGTTTTCCTCACAGAACCATCCTCCTACCCTGAGAAGCCTCAGCTCACAGTCCCAGCATCCCAAAGCCCCACTCCCAGGAACTTTCTGGAAGCAGCATCCAGAGGATTGTTTACAGTGAGAGCACAGGCAGGGCAGGCTGAGGCCTGCAGCATCTCCTCAACAAAGGCAGGAAAACACCCCCCCCCACCTCTCCTTCAGCTCCAAGGTAAAAGAAATCCAATTGATTTAACAAGTACAGTCCCATCCTTTCAGCTCTTCCGAAAAATAAAGGCCCGGAATGGCACCAGGCTGACCTGGGAAGCCTCTCCGAGGCATTTCTGAAGTCTGATTTTAAATCAGCAGTGCTGGAAACAAAAGAAAAGCACTTTCCATTTGCTTGCACGTAAAGAGAAAAGGTCAAAAGAGGCACATCAGGCAGCTCCTGATGTTTTCTGTACCTTCCCTTTTCTCAGAATTTCAGTTTGGTTCAGGCAAAAAGCTCCAGAGCTTTGGGATTTCGTCCTGACAGGAATATCCAAGGTCCCAAAACAGCTCCTGTATAATTCAGTGACCATTTGGCTTGTCACAAAGGTCAACTAACTGGCTTTATATTGCTAAAAGCCTTCCAAGGAAGTTTTCAAATTAAGGAAAAGAGACTTAGAGGGAAAAACAGCAATTAAAAATATTGTTAGAAAACCTGTCTGGCTAAAAATATTAACCGAGGAGCAGCCAGCTGGTCTCAGGCTTATTCCTGGGCCCAGTGAAAATAACAGCTTCTCCATCACTTCTTGGCTTTAATAAACACGGGAGGCTCAGGACAGACTTTCCCTCGAGGTAAATTGTGCTGCAGCATTTTCTCTGACTCCCCTGACCTGCAAACAGAACGCACTGCCAGCAGCAGAACACACTGTGCCCTCCCAGGGCACTGAGGTACTTCCACAAAACCACAGCCCTTCCCAGGGCTCAGGAAAGAGGAACAGGGTGAGAGGAGGAAGTTTGTGCAGCAGATTTATTAAGAAAAAAACACCCCAAACTTCAGTTTTCTGGTGTCCCTCAGGATCCTAAAGAAGACACGAGGGTGGGAACTGCCCGTTCCTGCCTCCTCCTGCCCCCCAAACCCCTCCCCATCCCAGGGCTCCCAGCCTGGGAATGTAAACTGGGCTCCTACCTGGAAATAACTTGAGTGAATCCCTAGAAAATTAGTTTTTATGGTCATTATTCCTCTTTTCTGGTCTCTGAAAGGCCAAGTCCTGAGCGTTGCTGAGAAGGGTGAACGGGGTGGTGCCCAACAGGAGGATTTTTAGAGCCTCACACAAATCTGAACAGCCCCAACACTTCCACGTGAGCCACCACAGCGATTCCATAGGAAGCACTGACACCAGAAGTTCAATAAATCCTTATTTTAACTGGCCAAAGCCTGACCACAACCCAAAAAAAGCCTGTTCTTTGCCTAAGCACAGCTTGCAGTGTGTGCTGCAGCCACAGCCCTGCCCTGGGCTGTTCCTCTTGGACTGGGGAGACACAGGATGGTCCTCCCGGTGCTGGATCCCCTTTCCCAGTGCTGTCACTGGGAGCACAAGCTTTGCCAACACCTGGCTCTGCACAGGCAAGGGGATAAAAGGGAAAGAAACACCTTGAATTTTACAGCTTCAGCTCTAGATGGAGCATTTCCCCCGCGGGAGCGTGTGCTGAGCAGGAAGGGTTTGCACCAAAGGCAAGGCAGGGATTTCCCACCCCCCTGGTCTAAATTTCCAACCCAAAGCTGAGTTTAGGCACACTGGGAATCCTCAGGGGCTGTAGGTTTGAGGGGAGTGTTTATATTGCATCACTTTTCTCCCCTCCCAGCTGGGAAGATAAAAGCTGAGGCAGCTGCTGGAAGAAAAGGTAAGAAAAGAACTGCCTAAAGTGTTCAAATTTCCCTCAAAGGGAGCCAAACAAACGCCGTGCTGAACTCCAGGAATCCTCCAGGTGGAGGAGAAGCTGGCAGGATTTGATCCTCAGAGGACATCAGCTGAAAAGTCTGGATTCAGAGAGATTTCAGCTCTCCAGAGGGATTCATTCTGACAGAGAGCTAACTCCTCTTTGGCCTGTGCATCCTGGAGGGGCTGGAGCAGGGATGCAGACCCTCCCTCTGCTCTATTTTGGGATGACAGGTTATTATGGCAGCTCTGAATTCTAAATCCATTAGGAATTTAAATATAAATCCCCCTAAATGTCCCAGGTAAAGGGAAGGGGGGGGGGTAGCTGGTTTTAGAGAGCAATTCCCACTTCCAGAAGATCCACACCTGGACATTTAAATGCTCTTTATTTATTCCTGTAATTCCCATTCATACATTAATGAGCAAACCATGACCACAGGTCTGATGGTGCCCAGTGATCCCTAATCCAGCTGCTCCCAAACCCTTTTCCTCTGGAACAAAGCCACTGAGTGGCTCCAGGACAACTTTTCCTACAGCTCCAGGGAGGGAAGGAGGGTGGTAACTCCCTCCTGGGGTGCTGGTGGAAGGTGGGATGTGTTGGAAAGAAAAGTTCCACCTGAGGCACCCCCGCTCTGCCATTCCCAGAGTCCTGGGAAGGTGTATCCATACAAAGTCTGGATTTCCTTGACCACACCAACACTCAAAACCCAGGCTGTCCAGCCAAAAAAACAAACCAAAGAGCACTTCGCTTGAAGGAATTGCTGACATCTCTGCTAAAAAAAAAAAAAAAAAAAAAAAAAAAAAAGGGGATGCTCAGGAAAAAAAAATGGATTGGGATTCAAGCACAGGAACCGCACGTCTCTCGGGACACGTGGATGTCTGGCCCTGGCAGCACCCTGGGATTTCTGGAGCGTGAAAGGCAGGGAGAGAGGCTGAAATCTCCTCTGCACAGCTCTGGCTCCTCAAGGAGAGGCAGGTGGAGGAGAAGGATAAATCCAGCCTGGCTCTGTGCCCGGACAGAGCAACATCAACAGTCCTGCCACAGCCCCAGTACAGGGGCCCAGGTACTTGGAGGTCTGATCTTCCGCTTCACCACTTCCTGAGTTGGTTGTTTGGTTTGGGGTTTGTTTTTTGATTCTTTTTTTTTTTAAATGGATGAAAAGAAAATGAAGCTTTTTGCCTAAAAAATAATTTCCAAAAAAAAAGCAGCTGTGCAGAAAAAAAAAAAAAAAAGCTTAATATCATTATTATTATTCCTGCAGCAAATCTCCTCTTAAGGGAGAAGGAAAAACATAAACAGCACCGTTTCCTGTGACCCCCTCAAGGACTGGAATCCGTAGGAAGCACTAAAGGGACGTAAATATTTCACAGAAAGGAATTTTGGAAGTTCACAAAACCTTTTTGCTGCCAAGTTTTGCCTGGATACTCTCAAATGAAAGGAAGAAGACCCACAGATAACCCACAGCGACACCGGATAAAGGGACCCGGCTCTCACGTGGAGGAATTTTCCTTATCCGTGTAAAAAGATGTTAAATATTTAAATTTGAACCGGAGAGAGTAATTTGCTCTTCACCTTTTCCTTAGGAAGAATTCCTAAGCGGTTTCTGTAGCCAGATATCCCACTGTGTGTCCTGGCATTCCCTTGCCTTGGGAAGGATTTAATTCCCACTGATATTGGGAATGTTAAATGACCCTCCTATGAATCTGCAGGACACGGTGCCCAAAAAACACTGGGGAAGGAAATCTGCTTTCTAAGCCTCCCGAATATTCAGCCCAAATATACATTAAATAAACATTAATTAAGCAATGTCTCAGTAGTTTCAAACATAAGAAAACATTTCCTCCTCTGGAGGAAATTCCAGCTCCAAAAGCACACGTTGGGGTAGTTTCTAGCACGTTAATGAACACTGGAAACCCCAAAGCAAAGGTGGGGGTCAGGATGCTGTTAATCCCGTAAGAAAGGTTGGGATAATGGGAATGGAGTCACCCCAAACGGCTGTCAGTGCTCAGGATTGTATCCGTGGAGAGATTCCAGGGATGTGGAGATGCCAAAGGGCACTGCAGGCTGGCAGAGCCCCCCATCCCTGCCCGTGGGAGCTCCGGCGCTCGAGGTGTTCGGCACCAACCCCAAGGGACACCTCAAGGGCTCCCACCCCGGGATGAGCCAGCATTTTCCACGCAAGAGTGAGCAGGATCAGACCTGGGCTGGTGCCTGCTACTGTGGGGAGCACACCAGGAGAGGGCACAGGATCAGAACAGGCACATGGCACTGCCACTGGACTGCCAGGGAAGGGCTGAGGGTGGGGGTTGTGGAGATCAGCTGGGGACACTGTTCCCTGGGAGCGCAGCACATCCCGCAGCCCTGCTGAGCCCCCAAAACCCTGCCCCGAGAACTGAACAGGTCCATTTAGCCACGTTTATATGGGGCTGCCCCAGCCCTGGAAGTGTCCAAAGCCAGGCTGGAGCAACCTGGGCTAGTGGAAGGTGTCTCTGCCCAGGGCAGGGGGGTGGACTAGTTAATCTTTAAGGTCCCTTCCAACCCAAACCATTCCATGAAGGACATGGAGCTGCTGGAGTGAGTCCAGAGGAGGCCATGGAGATATTCCAAGGGCTGGAGGCACTTCTCCTATGGGGAGAGGCTGGGATTGTTGTGCCTGGAAAAGAGAAAGCTCTGGGGAGACTTTAGAGCCCCTTCCAGAGCCTTAAGGGGCTCCAAGAGAGCTGGAGAGGGACAAGGAGTGACAAGACACAGGGAATGGCTTCCCACTGCCAGAGGGCATGGATAGATGGGATACTGGGAAGGAGTTTTTCCCTGTGAGGGTGGTGAGGCCCTGGCACAGGTTGCCCAGAGAAGCTGTTGCCGCCCCATCCCCGGAAGTGCTCAATCCCAAGCTGGATAAACCCCAAGCAACCCGCTCTGGTGGGGAAGGTGTCCCTGCCCGTGGGGTGATCCTTGTGGTCCCTCCCCACCCTCCCCCGGGGCTCTCACCGGTCGGGGGCTGCCCGTAGGACGTGGCGTAGGCGGTCTGCCCGTAGGTGGCCGTGCTCTGGGGCTGGCTGTAGCTGACGTCCGCGGGCTGCCCGTAGGTCCCGTAGCTCTGCTGCCCGTACGTCTGCTCCGGGGAGGGAGAGGGGACACACACACACACAGAGCCAACCCGTGAATCCAGGAGCAGCCTGGATGTGACCCACGGGAGCTGTAGCCGCTCCAGAGCCAAGCGGGGTGGGTTTTTAGGCGCCGTGGTGACTCCCGGCTCGGCTCCGCGGTGAGGTTACAAAGCGGGGTTTTCCCTGCCAGGGTGGAGGGGGAGGGAGGGATTTTCCCCTCCCCCCTCACCACACGCCCCCTGCACCGTGCAAAGCGAACTTGGAAGCTCCCAGGGATCCTCCCTGGAAGGTGGGAGTGGGGGCACCAAGGACGACCAAGCCACCTTTAGTGTTTGCTGGAGGAAACCTATTTAAGGTGTTAATTGAGTCACCCTGAGTGTTCCTCGTGCCCAGCGGGTGTTTATTTGCAACGTGGGCTCGGAAGGACAGGATCCGCAGGAACACCCGAATTATCCCGGTGATGCCACACCCATCCTGGTGTCCCTGCACCCAGGGAGGGATCAGCTCTGAACTTCTCCCTTCCTTGAGGTGATTTTCCAATCTTAACTCCCAGGTGACGGCTGAAAGGCCAGGCTCCAGCCCTGCAGTGCCACCAGCTGTGCCGTGCCGTGCCAGCTCCGGCCTCCTTCCAACAGCTCCTTCCCCAGCTCTGCTCCGGGATCCGCCAGGGACACGGGCACAGCTTCAACCTCCACATTCCCATGGGATTTAGGCCTCTGGGAGCCCAGAGCTGAAAGCTTTGGGCATGTTCAGCCTCCCTGAACTGGCCTGAAGTGGGAGCGGGAGAGCCTTGAGGGCAGGAATACGACCCTGCCCCTGGAATTCAGCACAGGAGGCAGGAATGCTGCCAACTTCCCACTGGCACGAGCCCAGAGCTGAGTTCAGCTGGTCAGGGGTTCAATGAGCTGGGTTTAGGTGTTCAATGAGCTGGGTTGAGGTGAGTTTAACTCGTTAGGTGTTTAATTAGCTGGGTTTAGGTGTTTAATTAGCTGGTTTTAGGTGAGTTTAGCTGGTTTTAGGTATTTAATTAGCTGGTTCTAGGTGAGTTCAGCTGGCTAGCTGGTTAATTAGCTGGGTTTAGAGGTTCAGTGAGCTGGGCTTAGGTGAGTTTAACTCGTTAGGTGTTTAATTAGCTGGTTTTAGGTGAGTTTAGCTGGTTTTAGGTATTTAGTTAGCTGCTTTTAGGTATTTAGGTAGCTGGCTCTAGATGAATTCAGCTGACTAGTTGTTTAATTAGCTGGGTTTAGGTGTTTAATTAGCTGAGTTTAGGCAAGTATAGCTGGTTAGGTGCTTAATTAGCTGGCACTAGGCATTTAATTAGCTGGTTTTAGGTGAGTTTAGCTGCTTTTAGGTATTTAATTAGCCGGTTTAGGTGCTTAATTAGCTGCATTTAGGTGTTTAATTAGCTGGTTCTAGGTGAGTTCAGCTAGTTTACGTGAGTTCAGTTGGTTTAAGTGTTTAATTAGCTGGTGTTACATATTTAATTAGCTGGTTAGGTGCTTAATTAGCTTGTCAGGTGTTTCATTGGCTGAATTTAGGTGAGTGCAGCTGGTTAGGTGTTTAATTAGCTGGCATTAGGCATTTAATTAGCTGGTTAGGTGTTTATTTGGCTGCATTTAGGTGCTTAATTAGCTGGTTCTAGGTGAGTTCAGCTGGTTAGATGTTCAATTAGCTGGGTTTAGGTGTTTAATTAGCTGGTTTTAGTTGACTTTGGCTGGTTAGGTGTTTAACTAACTGGTTTTAGGTGTTTAATTACCTAGTTAGGTGTTTAATTAGTTGGTTCAAGTGAGTTCAGCTGGCTAGGTGTTGAATTAGCTGGTTTTAGGTGTTGAATTAGCTGGTTTTAGGTGTTGAATTAGCTGGTTTTAGGTGTTTAATGAGCTGGTTTTAGTCGTTCCAGCCTCCCCCAGCGGATATTTTTGAGGCCTGCTGTTCCTGCCCTTTCACTCCTGCCCTTCCATCTCACCCACAAACTGGCAGAAGCTCCTCCAAAAAGTGTCTCCAAGCACTTATTTAACCCCAAAGTCACCCTCACCTTCCTCTCAGCTGCCCCAAACTCCCAGCCTGGACCTGCCTTCCTCCTCTGGAGGGTAAAATTAACCTACAGCAACTTGTTGAGGACAAGAATTTACCTTTGGGAACATAGTTGGAGTTGGTAGGCAAATGTGGTTGTAGTAACTTGCATTCTAAAGGTTAAAAATAAGCATTAAGTTAAATCTCTTCCAGACCATCATGGCTTTTATCAGTCCAGCCAACTGAGAGCATGAACAAAGGCAATTCCCTCCCCCCTTTTTTTTTTCCTCTCCAAGTTTTTCTCTCCTACACCTCTGATTAAAACACCCACCAAGCGAGAATTTGGCTTTTATAGGACCAGGATAAATTAACAAAAAAAAAAAAAAAAAGGGGTGTGTGTGGAGGTTATTTCTCCTTTTAAAAAAGCAGTTTAAGCTGCCACGAAACAACTTTTAACCCCGGGGTTTTGACGCCGATGCCGCTCGGAACATCCCGAGGCTGGGAGAACCCCCCCCGGATTTTCCTGGAAAACAGGGGATGGAGGAGCAATTCCACCCCTTTCCCTGTGGTTTACCTGGGTGGTCTGTGCATATCCTTGAGCTGGCTGAGGTGCATAGGCGCTGTAGCTGTGGGATGAACAGAAGGACGTTTTAGAATCTCGTCCTGAGATAAATTCCTCCCCCATTCCCAAAAACCCATCCAAACAGGGTTCCTGCCGGAATTCTAAAGGATCTAAAACCTCCAGGGGAACCCTGAGGATTAAAAAACGCACCTGAGCGAAGCCTAAAGCACAATTATTGTGTATTTTTAAGGTATCTTTTGAGGAGAAGCTACTTACCCCTGCTGAGCTGCAGCTTGGCTGTAGGTACTGTAATCTACAAAAAAAAGGGGAAAAAAAGGTCGATGAAGGCTTGATAAAATTAAAAGTGGAAGAGCATAGCAGCTGGAACTGCCTCCTGGAATTCCAGCTTCCCCAAGGTGGAAGGTAAATGGCCTTTTTCAGGCCTTTTTGGAGGGGAAACAAACCCTCTCTTCCCCTCATTGTTGCCGCTGTTTGATCTCCAATGACCCCAACTCAGGTGCCACTTGGATGAATCCCAAGGAGGCGAGGGTGGGATTTGGGTTGGAACGAAGGGAAAACTGGGATTTGAGGCTTCCAAACCTCCCAGCCTGGTTTGGAAGGGCCAGGCTGGAAGTTTTGGGGCTGCAGGAACCACCACATTCCCCCTTTCCCCCCCTTCAAGGACCCAAATAAAGGGCTGGGAAGTTCCATCACTTTTGTGCCCTGGTAGGGTTGGATTTGGGAAGCTGGGAGTGATTCCTGCCCCAAATCTCCAGTCCATGTCAACACCCTGATTTAGAGGAGAAGCAAAATCCCGGGAATCCAAGCACAAAGCCTGTGCTGAAGTTGGTTCACTGGTGGGGATGGCAAATGAATCCACAGGGCAATCAGGAGGCTAAATTTGGAATGACTGCGGCTCCCACTTCCCTCAAAGGCACCAATTCCAGCTGCCAACCTCTGGAGCGAGGGAGGAATTCATCATTGCCACCAGGCAGATCCCAGCTCTGCCAGGACCATGGAAGTCCCGAGCTCAGGGATGAGCTCAGGCCTTGCTGCTCAGCCCAGCTGAGCCAGAGGCAGGAGCTGGATTTAGTGCACCATTCCCACATTTCCATCCCCGGGCGGGAAGAAGATTCCAGCGTTCCCCATTGCCATCACACCACTGGGGGATGCTGATCTCAGCCACAAACATGAGTTTATCCCAGAATCATGGACTACCCTGAGTTGGGAAGGACCCCCACGGATCATCCAGCCCAACTCCTTCCCCAGCACAGGAATTTGAGGAAGCAACTGAATGTTATCCCGCTGTTCCCAAGGCATTGGAGCCCTGGGAATCACTCAGCAAACACCCTTTCCATATCCCACAAACCTCCTGTGGGTTCATCCCTGCTCAAACTTTACTCCCCAGCCTCTCCATGTGCTCCCAGCTTTTCCTCCTGCTCTGTTCCCTGCTGGCAGAGCCGATCCCTGGATGGTGCTCCCAGCAGGAATTCCTGGCAGTTATTAATTCCTTTGATATTGCCCAGCACACCAGGAGCAGCCCCAAACACCTCCCAGGACACAGACACCAGGCTGTTCTCCCAAGGCTTCCCTGATCTGGCACAATTCCCACTTCCCTCCCAAGTCGTAGCATTTTTTCAAGTTAAATTCAGTGGTTTATGCTTTTTTTAATTCAGTGTTTGTGGGTCTGCTAACCCTGAGTGTTAATTAATAGCTGATCCCCTCATCCAGCTTCCCTCTCCCACTCCATCCCTCCCCACTCCTCTTTTCCCTGCCTCCTAAACCTCCAAATTCCTCATTAAATTCCCGTTTTTCAGTCCCCTTTTGGCCTCCAGCTCCATGTAGGAGCATCAATTAATTCCCTTCAAAAGCCCCCTCCTCAAAGTCCCACCCAAACCCAACATCCCCCCCTTTGCAGGACTCAATTCCAGGTGTGGAATTTGGGCTCCCTCCCTTTTAATTCACCTGGATCGAGATGAAACATAAAACATGAATAAAAGTAAAAAAAAAAATATCGTGGATCATTTAGGTAAACCCATCTCCCTGCTTTTATTTCCAGGGGGAAATTAATCTTCATCCTTTAATTTCAACCGGCTCAGGAGCACAACAGCAGCCCAAAATAGCAGCTCCCAGCAGGAACAATTCCGTGAATTAAGGGAAAAGAGAGCCGTGGGTTTAACCCCCCTTCTGACAATTCCATTGGTAAATATTTCTTTAATTTTTTTTTTTTTTAAGCTCTCCAAGGTGTTATGAAGGACATTCCCTCGCATTCCATGGCCAGGGATGTTTTCCTTCATGGAAAAATGAGAAATCCTCTCTATGGGACATAAGACCTTGGGCTTTGAGGAAGCTTAAAGGTGACGTTGCCAAAGTTGAGGAGTCTCCGTTTAGAGCTGTTTGTATCCACTTGGAGCCCTCGTGGAAAAACGTGTTTCCTCCTGTGACGGTTCCCTGGTTTATTCCAATCAATTTGGAGCCACGGAAATTATGGAAAACATCCCTTTCCTATGGGGAAAAGCTGGGAGGGGGTTCACCTGGAGAAGAGAAGGCTCCAGGGAGACCTGAGAGCCCCTTGCAGGGCCTAAAGGGGCTCCAGGAGAGCTGGAGAGGGACTGGGGACAAGGGATGGAGGGACAGGACACAGGGAATGGCTTCCCACTGCCAGAGGGCAGGGACAGATGGGATACTGGGAGGGTAGTGAGGCCTTGGAACGGCTTTCCCGGAGGATGCCCCATCCCTGGAGGTGCCCAAGGGCAGGCTGGATAAACCTGGCGCACCCCGGGCTAGCGGAAGGTGTCGGTGCCGGCGGCCGCGGCGGGATGAACTGATCCCCAAGGTCCTTTCCCATCCAACCCCTTCCCGGGTTCCACGCTCCCGGCAGGGCCGGAGGCGCGGGGGGACCCCCGGCTGCCCGCAGAGCTCCGGGAACTCCTCGGGGGGGGCCGGAGCGCGGCGGGGCCGCCGCTCAACCCCCGTCACCGAGGGGAAACCCCCGCGGCCCCTCCCGGCGAGGCCCCCGCGGGCGGCGCGAGGGGGACCGGGGCGGGCCGGGCCCCGCACGGCCCGAGCCCCGCGGCCGCCGGAGGAGCGGCGCGGCAGGCTGGCGGGCGGCGGTGCCCCCGCGGGGCTGTGTGCCCGGCGGTGCCGTGCCCTAGGTGGCCGTGCCCGCTGTCCCGCCCCGCTCCCGACCCGCCCGGTCCTGCTCACCCGTCGACGCCATTTTGTCGCCTTCCTCCTCCGCGCTGCCCGCCCGGCCCCGCCCCGCGCCGCGCATGCGCCGCCCGGCCCCGCCGCGCGCACCACCCCACCCGCGCCGGGGGGGACCCGGGGGGGGGAACCGGAGGGGAGGCAGCACCGGGAGAGCCCGGCCCAGCCCGCTCCTCCGCCCGCCCCTTCTACCGACAGCGAGACACAGCGGAGAGCCCGCGGGCAGCGCCCGCCGAGCCGCAGCGCTGTGGTGCCGCGGCGCTGGGCGCTTCCTTCCCCCACCCCCGGCGGGGCGGTGTGATGGTACGGCCCGCGGCCGTTAGGGACCGTCGCGCAAGAGGCGCTCGGGCCGCGGGGCGAGCGAGGCCGTGACGTCACGGTCGGCTCCGTGATGTCATCGCGGGGGGGCGCTGTGACGTGATAAGGCAGCGCATGCCCTAGGCGGGTAGTGACGTCATTGCGTGCCCTAATGTCTCGTGCAGGTGTCACATTTCACACACCAGTTGTCACATCACGGGCTGCGTGTGATGTCACCCGGTGTCACAGGACACGGGCCTGCAGGTGACACCGTGGGCTGCACGTGACGTCACCAGGTGATCCCAGGTTTCATGCTACAGGTGACACCCTGGCTTGTGTGTGATGTCACCCGGTGTCACAGGTCACAGGCCAGCAGGTGACACCCTGGGTGGTGTGTGACGTCACCAGGTGTTGCAGTTCATGTGCTACTAGTGACATGCCAGCTGGTGTGTGATGTCACCGGGTGTCACAGGTGACCCCGTGGGTGCTGGGTGGTGCCCCCCGTGCTGTCCCCAGCAGTACCCGATCCCCACGGGACTGAGTGGCATCACAAGTGACATCACATGTGACAGCAGGTGTGACATCATCTTGCCAAGCTGCTGGCGGTGTGTCCCGTGAGGCCACGGGTGGGGGTGCAGCGTGTCACACATGGAGTAGGGGGTGTCCCAGGGGTGGCACTGGATGTCCCGTAGGTGGCACAGTGTGGGTGTCCCACAGCTGGTGTGACATTGATGGGTGTCCATGGGCGTCACATCACGGGTGCAGGGGTGACATGGTACAGCCATGTGTTTCCTGGGTGCCCCAGCAGGTCCCCCCCATCCCATCCCACCCCATCCCATCCCCCTGTGC